GGGAAACTGGGTGCCTTTGAGGTCACCTTGAAAAATATCTCGTAAAAATGAAAAAACCAGACTGGTTCAAAATAAACGCAATATTTGTTCATGGGATAGAAGTATTGACTTTCACAGTAAAAGTCAGGGAAATCGGTGAAGGTCCGAAATTTGCCTTATCCGTTCTTAGGTGGACAGCCTCTTAAATCCTTAAACGTTTTCAGAAAGTAGACGATTTTCATTTTCATTGTTTCCTTTAGGTAAATATTGTATCTACAAGAAAGGTGATTGCCCCAAAGGACTGGAAGAAGGTTACTTATTTTGGCATGACGAACACAATAAGAACATCAACGATCAAGGAGGGACACTTCCCGATGGCGAATATGACAAGGACACTCTAATATTCTATTATTGCAGAACCGGCGGTGACAAATTTAAGGCTATCTCCCTCCCCCTAATCAGCCCGTTTTACCTTAAGGCTTTCAGCACGTCAGAGCGCCAGCGCGTGCAAGGCGCCATTGCCACAGAGGAGTACATTCGATATGACAATGAAGATGCGAAAAACCAAGATGCGTATAATGGCAGTTATCCCTACGATGGAGGAGGACGCAATCACAAAATTGCTCATTGTTATTATGAAAGTAAGTATCTGAGCAACTGTTCACCTACCCCTCCCCTAACCCAACAGCAATCAACTAATAACAAGTTATGGTTGGAGTGGGATTGGGGATGGGAGGTAGTGGGGATCATCATTCATAGGGAATGGGAAAATCCTAAGGGTTTGTAACCTCCATACAGAGCACACCGGGGATCTGAGATCGTAGGTAAGGCAAGTGGTGGTTACACTTTTGATCATTTCACATTTTTTATGTGCTCTTAGGTTGCCTCTACACGTATAGCTTGGATAACGATGAGCAGATGCAATTCACCTCTCCAAAATTTTTCGACAACAGATTTCCGTCGGAGCAGAAGTGCACGTGGCGATTTGTTTTCTCCAGGGAAGGACAGTAAAGTAAAAATCACCTTTCTGGAAACACGTAGGCAGAAGGCGACAGTGTTGTTATCAGTAATGACTGGAGCAGTGGATCAACCGTGGGTATAATAGATCAAAAACGCCTATTTAATCGAAAGGGATATTTGTCCCAGAACAATTTTCTTTTAGTAGAGTTTTATTCAAAGTTTCCCATAACACAAGGGAATCATCATTCCAAAGGTTTCCTCGGAATGTTCAAAACTATTTCAAGTAAAGTTAAGAATCACTTTTAGAAGATAACTATATTATTACTTTGAAGGTAAATAAACGAGACGGAAAAAAATTAATAAGGTGATTATTGCGCATCCTGTGCTGCGCATAAATGTAATTAACATTCTAGAGCAAGACGGAGTACATTTACTAGCTGTTTTGTGAGGAAAGGATTCATTGGAAATGTTTGGCTCAAAATTGCGGAGACGCATACATATCGAGGCAAAATTTTCAGTCAATTACTGCTCTCTGTTCTTCGTCACAACAGGTTGTTAAACCTTAAAATTGTTTTTTTTTGCCAAAGAAAAGAGTTCGCGAGAAATATGCGGTGAAATCAACATTCCCCGTTCACATGTTTTCTCAAAAGAGAAGATATTCTTTCCTGGATGACATGATTATTCTAGGAAAGTTGGTTCGCTTAAGTCTGTCATAAATTTCGCCTTGTAGGAAAACATTCGTAGGCCTAAAGCCCCTCGGTGAAGTGGTTTTTTGAAGCGACCTGTGCGTGTATGCGAAAGAGCGAACCATCGAATGCATTTGAACATTTACTGAGAGAAGTCACCGAAAACTTCGGTTTTAATCTATTCTGCCATTAGAATCAAGTGATATAGGAGAGAATAAGCGATCTTGAATCTAAGAACCTTTTGCGTAATTTACTGCCTACTGAGTACCTTCGTGCGAGGCCATTTAAGCATTTGATTTTATAATCCGTCACTTAGGCCCCGAAAAGCGGTAGTTATTTTACAGGGGGACAGCTAAGCTGGCAAAACAAGGCTCTTGCATGGTTTTATTTGCTAAATCCTGAGTTGATCAGAGGTCATTTAAGCTAGTAACAAAAGTGTTGGACCATACAGAGGTCACAATTGGAGGTTACCCTGAAGGATGACTTAAAAATTAAGCTGTTAATAAGGTTTACGGCTAAATTTGAAGTCATTGGGCGGTTGAAGGTTGATTTTTAGAGTACTTCAAAAAGGGTGCCGGGGGAATGCCAGAAGGGCGATAACGCAAAGAGAGCAGCGAAATTGGAAATGTTATACAGCACAATAGAGAATGCAAATGAGAATTAAACGGTCTTTGACTGACAGTTTTCATTTGTTACACCTCCGTTTTTTTCTTATCAACTAAAACCATCACGAAGCGGAGGTGTTATGCTGTCATTCTTCCAGCATCAAGCAGTTGAGGAATCTGAAAATAAACGTGAAACTGAATGAAATAATTAAAAGACAATGACAGGTATACAATTTATAACCGCCGCAGTAGTGGACTACTAATTACAACTCTATTTCAGCAAGGCACTCTTCAAATGTCTTCATGTCATTTGCGTTGAACGCCGGCCATCGCTTTTGAAAGCTTTCAATAATTTTTAGTCACCTATAGGAGCCAAAAATGTGATCAAAACTGTTCAAATGTGGAGCCTGATTGCCAGTTGTGGCGCACACAAGTTTTCCGGCTCATACTGCGCGTATCGACATTAGGAGGAACAGCTCTCGGGCAGGTCGACATTAGGAGAGGAATTTTTCAAGGTAACTCCTTGTCACCACTGCTGTTTATAGTAATAATGCTACCCTTAACACTAATACTACAAAAGATGAGAGCTGGGTACAGACTAGCTAAGGACATGAAGCCTATTAACCACCTGCTATTCATGGATGATCTGAAGTTGTACGGAGCTAGTAGAGATCAACTGGACTCACTCATTCAAGTAGTAAGGATCTTCTCACAAGACATTAAGATGTCGTTTGGGTTAAACAAGTGTCCTGTTCAGGAAATGAGAAGGGGATGACAAGTTGGTAGTGGTGGAATAGACTTACCCGACAACCAGCACATCGGGGAAATAGACGAAGACGGCTACAAATACTTTAGAATACTAGAGTTGGACCAGACTCTCGACACCAAGATGAAAGGCAAGATAACATCGCAGTATACCAGAATAGTCAAGAAGTTGTGTAGATCAAAATTGAATGGAGGAAATTTTGATCTGCGGCATCAACATCTGGGCTGTAAGTGTGGTGCGCTACAGTGCAGGGATTGTGGATTGGACAACAGAGTAGGTAGAGGAAGATCTTGGTAATGAATGGCTGTCTACACACAAGGAGTAACGTTGCGAGGCTTTAATTGCCGAGAAAGGAAGGGGAAGAGGACTGATTGGCATCGATGAGTGTGTAAAGCGGGAGAGAAAATCCCTTCATGGCTATCTGAGTGAGAGCACAGAATGGATGCTTCAAGCTGCATTGAAGGAGTAGATTATTGTTGAAGAAGAGAGCCTACAGGACTATGAGAGGAGGAAGAAAGAATAGAAAGTTAAAAACTGGAAGGAGAAAGCCCTACACGGTGAGTTCATCCAGCAAGTATCAGATGAAGCTGGAGAGGAGTCCTGCAGATGGTTAAGGAATTTTTAAAAAAGGAGACAGAAGGTTTGATTCTGACGGCTCAGGAACAGGCTTTAAGAACAAAATCGATCAAGTATAGCGTAGAAAAGACTTCAGAAACGCCACTGTGTAGACTATGTGGAGACACCACTGAAACAGTAAGAGACGTTGTCAGTGGATGTAAGGAACTTGCCCAGAGAGAGTAGAGGAAGCGCCACGACAAGGTGGCTCTGCGGGTACACTGGGAGATATGCAGAAAGTATGGAATAGAGTGTACTGACAAGTGGTATAACCGGCAACCCTTGTCAATCGCAGAAAATGGAGAGGTGAGGATTAGCTGGGACATGACTATCTACACAGACAAAGTGCTAAGGCATAATCGGCCAGACATTACCCTAATTCATAAAGACACACAGAAATGGATATAGCTGTGCCAGTGGATCAGACTATCACCCTGACCGAGGAGGAGGAGAAGGTGGAAAAGTACCAGGAACTAGCATACAAAATCAGAAGGATCCATGGATCCACGAAAGTCACAATAAAACCTATCGTGATTGGTGCTCTCGGAAGCATATCGAAAAGATGAAAGGCCTGGTTTGGCAAGTTAAGTGTACCTGAATTCCTTGGAAGTGCTCAATTATCGGCCATCCTTGGAACTGCTCATCTGTTGCGAAAAGTGTTGTGTCTCTGAGCTACGGGAAGTTGCTGAGACACAAACAATGTTACCCAGTGAAACACCCGACAACAGGAGAGAATAGAAATAATAATAATAATAATAATAATAATAATAATAATAATAATTATGACCCCTAAAAGGTCAAAGACTTAAAAAAATGTCTTACATCCCAGCTGGCGGAATCATGCAAATTCGACGATTGTGCCTTCATCAATTTTTTTTCCAGCGCTGGATACTCAATTTGCGGCTTCATCTGATAGAAGCCCACTGACACACAAGATACAGGAGTGGTATAAGCCACTTAACGTAAAGCCCTTGAACCGTGACCCATCCTTTGAAGAAGGTGATCACGCTCCTGAGTTGATGGCACAATAGATATCTTCATGTCCAAAAAAAAATCGCTTTTACGCGAGTAATCTACTAACCAAGATCAAAGAAGTAGAACCTCAACCGATTGCCGCCACATCCCTTGTAATAAACGAGATATCCACCCTCTTTTGGCCATCCACCATTGGGATGAATGCAAAACTTATTTTTCAAATTCTTCATTGCATTACTCGGCGACACCCTGAAATTGAAAATAAATGCAAAAAATGGAAAATGAAGTAATGAATAAGGAAATTAATTTCTATGGGATAGGTGGATTCCATATTATACATTGACAAAATACATTGTTTACTTGGTACAATAACGCAGGAAAGAAGTAATAATGTAATGCTAATGTTTGAGCTTTTCTTGTCGTGTTCGTGATTGTTTAAATTTGATTCTTTATACAGTTCACCTTAAATAAAAAATAGTTACAGAAAATGGCGGGACAAGATGGACAAAATAATTGATACACATATGCCGAGTCTGTTAGACGGAGTGTAATCCCTGAAATGCATTCAAAATAGTTTCTGAACGCACCTCTCGTGCTTGAAAACGCTCAGGTCGCATTCGTCCTTCAGCATGAGTTTTCTGGTATAGCCAGGATAATTTCCTGAAAAATACAAAGAACAGGCCGACTAGATTTACGCCAATGATAGAAACCTTTGTTATTTGTAACTATCTTGAATTTGATACGTATGTAAACTATTTATAATTTGTAAAACCATTCCCTTAAATTTTGTAATGATTATAGTGGTAATGATAATGATGGTGATGGTGATGATAATGATGATGATGTGCTTAACGAGATATCTCCTTTCTGAATGGTCGATGAATATGCATAAATAGGATACGTATGGCTATTCGAGATTTGCTCATCCCCTTCTCTTGAAATTTAAGTTTAAAACAGTAAATAAAAATTGTAAGTTTCTAAAATGTTCCAGAATAAAAATAAAAAAACAGCTTAGTTTGTTTGTTGCAGTTATGGTATAAAATCATCAAGTCAGAAAAACATAAGAGCACTTCTCACACTGTTGCAAGATATACAAGGGAGCACTAAGAAGACAATTATTTGGTTGAAATCGTAATAAACGAATGAACTGCTGCTGAAGTTTGTTCGAGATGCTTTAAATGGTTTGAAAAAATTCCAGAATATCGTTCGTGTCCAACTACCATACAAAGTGCACTAGTGCTCTTGCAATTCCTCCTCCTAATTAATGCAAACGAAAATTATGGTTTAGGTCAGTGGCAAGTTTATCCAATTAAAGGATCTGTCACATTGACGGGTGATAGAAATTTGCAAAAAATCCTTTAGCAGAAGAAGAACAAAACAGTGACAGAGTAGTTAAAGCAAACAATTACCCTCAGGACAGATGACTTTCTTGCTGCACTTGTGATGGATTACTCCGTCCTCGTCCAGAAGGAAAATCTGGTCAATCGCATTACATGAAGTGCCTTCTATTTTCGTTGCAATGAGGTAAGCGCCATCAGGAGGGGAACAGCCCCCCTCATTTGGGGCCACACAGTAATCGTTGTACATTCGTATTCCACTTTCTAAAATCAAGTAGATAAACAACTTTTTACCGCCTCTTAGTTCATTAAATTCGTCCACAAGTTCTTAATTAATTTCTTTCCCAAAATTATGGGAGTGGTTATTGCATACGTAGACAGGAAGGCATAGATATTTGATTTTAGTTGGAAGGTGGTTTTTTTTTCTACACAAGAAATAGGTTAGTAGGATTGTTACAAAAGTGAAAATGCTACTTATTAGATGAAAGAAAAATTAAGATTGTGCTTTACAATACCGCTCTTTTTTAAGATTTTTGTTTTAATTTTTGTTTCAAGATCACGGCCATTAAGAATCATTTGAAATAAAATAAATTAATATTACTATACCAGGGCAATAGGTGCAGTCTCTTTCCTCCTTGGTAACGAGGCGAGGATCACATCGCTTTCCTCCGCATTGTGGACTGGGGTTTGTGCACGTTTTGAACCTTCTTTGCTTGCCAGGTTGACACAACTTGTCGCATCTACCCCAGTCTCCCCACTCGGTTAATCCGCCATCAACTATGAAACATCGAAATTGGTAACGTTACGTTATCTATTTTGAAAATCACATTAATCAAGAGCTGATATTTTACATAAATGTTGTGCCAAAGAGAATGAAAGATTGAGAATCGAAATATCAAGTTGAGACCAATCCAGACGTGTCTTCATGAACTAATAAACACATGACGCTCAAAACCACTTAACAATGAATTCTGAGATGGAGCCCTCAGTGTTGTTTGCATCTGAAAAAGCAGCTGATTTGTAAATTTCTTTAAGCATTAAGTGACAATTTTCGTGCTTTTAGCGTATTACTGTCTGTTAGTGCTAGCAGCATAGCTAATAATTTTAGCCACCTGGTTTTCTATCTTTGTCACAGTCGTCCTCATTTAACCAGTACCAGATCACTCCCGGGTCTCTCATTCCAACCTGGCTCATCCAGTCGGCGGGGTGTCGGTTTGTGCCACCCCAGATGATAGAACCCGCAGGGTAATAGGTGGGACTACTGGATGTAGTCAGCAAGGCTTTTTTATGAGTTCCTTTGGCGTCAAACCACGGCATTCTCTGTTCTATCGATTTTCTCCAATAAAAAGTCCACTTGTTGAACTTTCTTGTTAGATTTACTCCTCTTTGCTTATTGTCTACCGCCATGAAGCTATAATTAGTGATTGAAATACTCAAAAAAACTAATTATAGTTATTTTTTCCTAATTATGATTACAAGATACAGAGTAAACTGAGATGTATTCCGCATTTCCCTGCAGATATTCTGTTTAAGTCCCACTATTGTCATGTTTCAACGGAAAACCAAAATTGGTACATCGGGGATTGTGTTCAGAGTTCTTTTAACGAAAAAGCTTATTATTTCGACACTGAGAAGATGTTCTGTTTAAGTCCTAAAATTTATATATATTCTTATTGGGAGTCTCAAATTAGTCTCTTGGAGATTTTGTTCAGAGCTAAAGTTCGTTTATGACGCCCTGGGAAACAGATGGGTTTCAAATTTCTTTCCTGTCAGAATGATTTTCCTTGGGAGCAATGATGATATTGAGAATCAAAGAATTGTAGCCATGAATAACTTTTTGAAATGGACTGGACTGAATTTAATTGTTGAAACATTTCAGCCTTAAAGATAGGGTAGGT